ATAACTTTCCAAGAATTTGCATATGTACAACGACACTATCCCGTGCGAGGGAGAGGTGTATATATTGTTTCAATAAAAAGTTATAGCAATCCAAAGTTATTGATTTGATTTCCACAAAAACAACATTTTTGCCCGCATGTGTAATCACTGTATATGATTGCATATACGTGCATTAGTGTATTAAGGACCTGTTTGGTGTGTTTACATCGAGTTTTAAAGATAACTTTGAACTAAAACCTCTAATCACCATGTATTTGGTGTCAAAAGATGGATAATTAAAATACCTTCATTCTGTTATCAATTTCAATGAGTGATGTAGTGTGTGAAATATAAATTTTGAGCCAAAAAGCTGCTTTATTGTAGAGATTCCTCTTATTTTCGCCAGTATATATCGGTATATTGAACTTGACAAAAGTGATTAGAAATTTAGTGGTGCAGAAAGTTCAAAGGATTTAGAGCACTGAGTGCAATTGATAGGTTCTGCTCCTGTACTCTGGGATGTTTCAGGAAATGTGGGCATTAGCAGTTGCCTCCCCCAAACCCCACCCCGCCCCTTCCAGCCGCTGTCATAATCTTGCCAATGCCCAAGACAAGTTAGTGCATCTTGTTAATTATTTTTGAAGGAGGTAATTTGAATTTTATAGGAGGTACCATCACTGCGAGGGAGCGAAGCGACCGAGGGGGGAGGGTGTGGGAGGGGGGTTTCCCCCCTCCCATGGTAGGGACCTTTTGGGATTTTCCACTTGAAATCGTGCAATCTGGTGCATACCTAAGAAGAAAATTTGTAGTTATCTTTCCTACCTTGTATTACACATATATTGTAATAAACACACATATTGTTCATGTTTGATATTACATGAACAATCACATGAAAAGTTATTAGGTTGATAATTATTTATCACTTTGTACCATTACTTTGTAATTTTTAATTAAACTGAGATGATGCACCATACTCAATCTTTCTACATCATGATTTGTTGAATACATGTACAGTATTTAAATAATGGGCAGCAGAAGCTAGATTTTGATTTTTTTTTTTTTACTTGTGACTTTTATTTGGCTCTCCATTAGTTAGTTTTGAATATTCGCGGAGCGCGAGTCTGCATATATCATGCGAGCTAGCTGCGGGGGTCCGCCGGGGACGGCCGTGGCCGGCCTAAACTCAACCGATTTCAAAACTCTGTTGCCGATTTGCGCATCTCAGAATCTAAAGTACGTTGTCTCTAGACATTGCACGCACGTGTATAGGCCCCGGTTTCCGTGATCTTCAAATATCAAATCGGCAACGGATAGTTTGGTTACAGCGAGCTAGTTTCAGTTTTGTTATGATCAGTGTGTATATATTTTGTGCAGTGCATCGTCTTCTCGCGTGCACATCGGGATCGCAATGGGGTAGGGACGGGCGGGCTTGGCCGCCGCGCTGTGGGGGGAGAACTGCGATGTAACGTTAGATAGATAGGTCTAGGCAAGTACGGACGACGTCGCGTTCGTGATCGTAAGGGATTTCGTCGACTGCGGCCGTCAGGGGCGTACGCAGGGGGGGGGGGGGGGGGGGGGGTTGGGGTTCAAACCCCCCCTTTGGTATTTTTATGTATGTAAACCCCCCTAAAAAAAACCTTAAACCCCCCCCCCCCCTTTGTTTTTTTGTTTTTTTTGTGTTTTTTGTTTTTTATTATTTTAAAAAAAAATTAAAAAAAAAAAAAATTAGACCCACGGCTAACCTAAATAAGGTGACCTTACCCCCCCTCCCCCACTGAGCGACTTTTCGGCTGGCTTAGTCGTTGCGATTTTTTTTTAAATGTGTCCCCCCCCCCCCCCCCCCCCCCCCCCCCCCCCCCCCCCCCCCCCCCCCCCCCCCCACTGAGCGACTTTTCGGCCGGCGCGATTTTCACATTTTCGGGAGCAAAATATTTTAAAACCCCCCCCCCCCCCCTTGAAAAAATCCTGCGTACGCCCCTGGCGGCCGTGTATGTGCGGCACTAATTATATCTTGGACGAAATTAAGGAAATTTTGGATTAGCATTGATTTAGATCTACTTTCTGTGATTTTTGCAAGGTTTATTATAGGAATTATAGCCGGTAAGAAACGAGTGACTAGGCGGCAAGTTTTACCGGTTACCGGCTTTAAACGACAGCCCTGATTAAATATTTATCGCCATATTTGGTTTAATGGTTTATTTTGCCTGACTACTAAGAAAACGCGTGTATGCTTGTAAGCAACCAATACTCCGCATAATTCCTATTGTGATAAGATTAGAATGACATAAACTTTTCTCAAAAAATAGTTTCGGCTAGGTATGCAAAGTTATTTTTTCTCTCGATTACAAGTAATTGGGCACAAATCGAAGGAACATTATGAAACTACTTGATTCGATTGAATCTCAGTTTTAGTCTTTATGTGTTTCAAATAGGAAGTTCCAGAACTACAATTGAGATCAATTTGAATTTTTTTCTGCTTAGCCATGAATAATTTAAAATCGTTACTAACTCCTTGAACTTCTAAGGATATCCCGATTTGATGATTGTAAAATGTCATTAGGTACCAGCTTATAATTTGACAAAACATCACCGTCTACATTAGAGTTCTATTATGCCTGTTGCATAAATCATATGGTCTTTTTGAACATGTTGCTGAAATGACATGATTTTCTGTGATTTTTTCTCTTTTGGGAGGTAAATTATACTGTTGTATGCCTTTGTTGGAAAATAACAAGTCTCCCAAATTTAGAAGCATTCATGTCAGGGCCTGCAAAACGGTAGGGCTGGGGCCCTTCTCACTTTTTTGAAAAAGTATGTTAAAGAGAAAAAGAAAGAAAGAAAGAATGAGTGACCTGCCAGTGTCACAAATGAGATATCAAAATATGCTCTTCTGACCGTAATTAAATACCTAAAACCCCTGAGCTTCCGGGGGCTCCACACCCTGGACCCTACTTCAATAAGTGACATGGCAGTGTCACAAATAAGGTATCTAAGTATGCTTCGCCTCTTGACGCCGCCGGGGCAAAGACACTGGGCCCCACGCCAATTTCTCCACTCGCTTCGCTCTACCTGATCGTTCAAACTCCACTTAGAAAAACGTTCGGCGGGGCCGGCATGTAACGTGTAAGAGTGGTGGTGGTGCAGATTTTTCTTCTGCCCCCAAAAAACGTTTTTGCTCATTACGCCACTGCCCCTGAAAGGTGAGCCCCCTGGAATGTTTGTCCCCTCCCCCCATCCCAAACTGTTTCACTTTCTGCACTACTAAATGTCTAATCACGTTTGTCTAGTTAATATACTGATATACTGGCAAAAATCAGAGGAATATCTACAAAAAAGCACCTTTTTTTGCTCAAAATTAATGTTTCACACACTACATCACTCTTTGAAATTGATATCAGAATGAAGGTATTTTAATTATCCATCTTTTGACACCAAAAACATGGTGATTAGAGGTTTTAGTTCAAAGTTATCTTTAAAACTCGATGTAAACCAGTGGCGGATCCAGGGGGGGGGGGGGGCCGGGGGGCCCGGGCCCCCCCCCCCCCTTGAGAAAAAAATCATGGAAAAACACGTGATTTTTACCTTTTTTGGGGGTTGGGTCCCCCCCCAAGAAAATTTTTGGAGGACCAAAAAAAAAAAATGTGCTCACTACCCCCCCCCCCCCCAACTGAGCGACTTTTCGGCCGGTGCGATTTTCAATTTTTTCGGGAGCAAAAAAAAAAAAAGTTGGGCCCCCTCCCCTAAAAAATCCTGGATCCGCGCCTGATGTAAACATACCAAACAGGTCCTCAATACACTAATGCACGTATATGCATACAGTTATTACACATGTGGGCAAAATTGTTGTTTTTGTGGAAATCAAATCAATAACTTTGGATTGCTATAACTTTTTATTAAAACAATATATACACCTCTCCCTCGCACGGGATATTGTCGTTGTACATATGCAAATTCCTAGAAAGTTATGAAAAAATGTAATTCTCCGATTTTGATATATATGGAAAATAATGTTTTTTTATCAAATTAAATTTTTCGAAAAAAAAATCACAAAAATCATATTTTTTACTTAAATTGTCGATGTTAATTAATCCCAAATTCTTTGAAATTGGTATCGAAATGTAGATAATTTAACTTTCTTTCATATGACACCTAACTCATTGTGGTTCAAGGTTTCCCTAAAATATTATTTACATAATACTATTTTGTCGTCAAAAGGGACACTTTTTTGGTGGGGCGTCCTCCTGGCCACACCCACCACTTAGAACATGCCAGACGGTCAATTTGTTATGTGGAGCTATGCGATCTTTACATCTGTGCATATTAAAATTGGTTTCCTGCCCAGCTAGGTTAACCCCCACTGGCTCCCGGTCTAGGACCTCCCAGGAAATGAAGGAGGGGCTCTGAAAATTTGGACCCCATCATTTTTGGTCAATTGGGACCCTTTTGAAGCCAAAACAGCAACAACAAAAAATCAACTTTGTCACAAAAATCCTACGGGAGCTGTTTCAGTGACATACCGTACCACACTATTTGGGGCAAGTCGATTTTTGCACTCTCGCAAACAATGCCTCCAATTCATCCAAGCGTAAACACAAGCCATATTTCACAAAAAATGATACTAACTGATTCGGGATAAAACACTCTTTCATGAGATGTATAATAATTTACTGTTCATAGATGATTTTAAAAATGATTAACAATTCTCTAGGTGTAAACTTGTTTTGACTCACACTATATGGAGGGATAGAGTAACCGAGGGAGCAACCGCGAACTGGAAAGAGGGGTAAGAGAGATCAGAGCAAATTCGTTGCTATTCTATTTGGTACAAAATGTTGTACAGCGGCGAGCAATACAGCTATCGGGAGTATTCAATGCTTACTTATAAAATAATGATTCGTACTGCAATAGTACGTAAGACATTATTCGCGTGCGGCATGGGTGTGCGGCAGGTAGGTCGAATGTCAATGGGGATTCCCCATTTAACTCTGCATTGGGTTGCGTGGTATAGAGTCACATGCACATTAATCACACATCCATGTTATGGTAGAAAAGGGAGATATAATTGCGTTACATTGTGGATATTGGATCAGTCCGTAGGAATACTCGCTTCACAATGAAGTTCTACAATCATGCTCTGGTCGCATTATTGGCTGTTTTATTCTCTGGAGTAGATTCAAGTAAGTATCAATAGAAAGTAGTGGCATAGCTCTTTGAGGAAATGATCACATTTATCATGCGTATAACATAACGAAGTTGGTATTGCATGCATGTATTGTTGTAGGAATTAATATGATTAATGTATCTTTTTCTTAGTCCGAAAATCCCACATGACTTATAGGCCTACCAGGCCTGCCTCGTGATATGCGTATATAACATAATAATGATAACATATTACATAATTGTCCATTACATAATTAACACAGGCCTAGTTGGTATTGCATGCAGGTATCGTTGTCGGAATTAATGCTGGCCTTATTATAATACTAATTAATAGGCCACCTAAAATTCAAAGAGTTTCTCGAATTCTCTTAAGAAGGGGAGGCTCAGCAGTAAGTAGATTTTCTTTAAAACTTATTTTTAAAAAGTTATTTTGTCAAGATGGCTGCCGCGTTTCCATGATGCGTCATTTGGGGGAATTCCATTATTACAAGAGATCTCTTCATGTAAAGCCCACTGCACACTAAACGATTTTCCTGCCATCCTATTTACGAAGAGACTGCAATTATATTTTTCGGCCCTTCCCGCTTTTCAAAAATGAGGGAAAAGAACGTACATTTAAAATGATAAATAAACAAAAAAAGACAATAAAATGCTTGTTTGACCAAGATATCAAAGCGCAAAGTACTGGACATTTTAATTTAAAAAATAGGTTAGTAACCGTTAATTTTCATCATGTTCATCATTTTGTCCTCAAATATTATTGACAGTCTGTTATTTATATAATTTAAAATGACTTTGGAATTTAAATATTACTGAATGTTATTTTATGAGATGTTTTATTTCATTCAATCAAGTCACTGTATCATTAAAGATAAATATGTATTTATTTTGAGATTATCTTTTGTGACAATGTGAATTGCAAATAAAACTCATTAAAAAAAATAGTAATTTCAAAATGATTTTGTAAATATGTTAATGCATTATACAGTGTCCGTCTCAGCGTGAGCTGCTGGTCACTCTTTATAGAACGAATGAATAATAACAAAACAAATATAGCATGATAGATGAACCAGGGCTAGGACGGGTAATTTGATCTATTTCAGTTATGAACATTTTTATTCATTTTTTGTTTAATATAGGGCAGGTTTGTTATTTATCAAATTGAGCCTCACATGACCCTGCGTGGATAGGCCTACATTCAATACTATAACTAATGTGATTAGATATTAAAATATAGTGATTTTCATAAGAATTCGTCGATTGTAATTCATTCCTATGGAGGTAAAATTTCATTTTTGGGAAAGATATAAAAACTAACAAGAAAATTATCTGACAAAATTGAAGTAAAATTTAAAAGAATTCTTTATCTACATTTGCATTACGGCCTATGGAGATAATATTATGTCGTTAAAGTACAGATTAAACAAAAACGTTTTCATGGTAATCTTTATTTGTTCGTATGTTCACTATCATACACTTTCATACTTTTTAATTACTTTGTACATTGAATCGTAGTTGTTGGGTACAATCAGGTGCGTACGCAGGATTTTTTCAAGGGGGGGGGGGGGTTTTAACATTTTTAAATCGGGCCGAAAATTTCGCAACGACTCAGCCAGCCACTGAATAAGCGGGGGGGGGGGGGGAGGGGTAAGAGGACACTTTTTAATACAAAATTAAAACAAAAACAAAATTACCAAAGGGGGGGGGGGTTAACCCCCCCCCCCCCCTCCCCGTGTACGCGCCTGGGTACAATCATGGAGTATGAGTCATCACTGATTAAACTATTGAAGTCTATTTGTCTAAAGAATCCTTTATGTAGTTTCTGGAGGAATAAAAGAATGACAGAGGCCCAATTTATTCAAAGGCTGGAATACAAAATAGATCATGCACATTTTTATTGAAAAGCAGCGTGGACGAGACTTGCCGAGTGTAACATAGTGTGAAGTGTCATGAACACATACACAGTATTTCTGATATTGTTTATTTAGTCATTTTTCGTTTCCATTGAGAAGGCAGAATGAACTTAGGAACTAACGGTACTCGATCGGAAGGATCATAGTTTCCGTACAGTGATGTACTGAAGTTTGTAGCCCAGATTGGATAGACCACGTGTCTTACTAAAGTTTTAGACGTAACGATAAAAAGACCTATAGATACCCCTAATCATATAGAAACTACTCTTTGTATTAATACAAGTTATGCGGGGTACGACGCGTTGCGTAAAATATTACACGATAGGTCTTTGGTAGTGAACTATTCTATATACAGGAAGGCAGAAACTTCAGAGAAAATCTGAATGAAACCAGTCAAAAATGAGAAAGTTATAAACTTTTGACAGTTGTAATTACTATACGTGTGGGATCATCAAATAGGCTAATCGGTAATGTCGCTGTGATGTAATGGCGGACAACTTTCCCATTTGGTCCAAAACATAATTGACTTCTTCAAAAATGCACAAATCTATGACTCAGTGGATATTTTATCTTTAGAGGACCGATAATAATATGCTTTCCATAGTATATATTGAGAAGTGCCCCAACGAAGAAGGCACTTAGGAGAAAAACTGAAATTAATGATATTATGTACATGACACACGGGAAAGTTATCCCCGACGACATCACAATGCACTGACTAAACTAGCAATTTGAGATTCCCGTAGACTTCGTGATCTCATATTTCAAACATTCATGTCATTTTCATTGTTAGGGATAATGACGTGCTAGAGAGAGAGAGAGAGAGAGAGAGGATAGAGAGAGAGAGATAGAGAGAGGGAGAGAGAGAGAGAGAGGTGAGAGAGAGAGGGAGAGAGAGAATGGGAAGCTAGGGTAGAAAGAGAGAGAGAGAGAGAAAGACAGACAGACAGATAAAAAAGGAGAGGGGGGAGATAGACAGACAGACACATGAGAGGGGGAGACAGACAGACAGAGAAGGAGAGGGGAGAGAGGGATACAAACAGACAGGCAGACAGAAAAGGAGAGGGAGAGAGACAGAGACAGACAGACAGAGAAAGAGAGGTGAGAAAGAGCGAGAGAGCGAGAGAGAGAGAGAGAGAGAGAGAGAGGGGAAGTAGAAATAGAAAGGAAGTAGAGGAGGGGAGCAGACAGATAGGCAGAAAGGGCGGGGGGGGGGGGGACCTTAGACCCCGTCTTTTTATTTACCAATCGCAACTCCTCCTTTCGTAATTACTTAGAGGACATGTAATCGGTCCAATCGGAACTCTCTCTCTCTCTCTATAATATGTCCCTTTTGCAGCCAGCATCATATTCTGTAGAACTTTGCAGGAATTATTATGTCATGTGTGTCCTATCTGTAAAATTTGAACAGTAGCAGTGTCCTAGTATTGCAATTATCCAAGGAAACCCGTTTACCTTCTAAACTTTACTGTCAGACACTATTGAGTGACTGACTGACAACTTTTTTCTTTGGTAATAACATACATAACATGAGCTGTAAAGGTACATGAGCATTTGTCTACATCAATAACCATCTTTTTGTAATGGCCAAAATTAAACTGATTGAATCTTTGTGCAGCACAAAACGTACGACCATTCGGTAAAATGGTCTGTAAATCAGACTATTACTTAGGTGATTGCAACCCCTTAAGTCGATTCAAAAACTAAAGCCATTTTCAAGCCTTTTCGTCTTGAGGTTAGTTTTAAATTAGTATTAACTCTTTAATGCCGTTGGAATCTAACCTTTTTGATTTTTTGATCTGCAATGGAACAAAGTACCTTTAAAATGGCGGTCGTCTGCATTTTTCAATTTTGAAATGATTTGTCAACTATGTTTTTGTATAGGTACAATTATTAATTTGATTTTTATTATGATATGATTATATACATGAATGTATTTTCACTTTCGTTAATCATATATACATGTATGTACCTAGTTTATACATAATTTTTGTTATTATGTTGAAACATATAGAAATAAAATAAACAAATCAAAATCCAATCAAAGGTGCGTTTGTTTGATGAACGTCTTTTTGACCGTTTGTAGGTCTAATCATGCTTTTATAAATAATACTAAAACTTCTCTTGTACAATGAACTCCATTAACAAAACAATCTTTGTTATTAACATATTATTCTCAGACCTCGAAGTAATCACGAACCCCAATGCTACAGCTTACAGGGGTGGCAATATTACCCTTCCGTGCCGGTTCAGTGGGGTACCAGAGGCCGTCTACTGGCACAAACACAACCGGACAGGTGCCCCCGACGACCAGGCGACGCTCGTGGTGAGTAAAGTAAAGGATCAGGACGTGTACCAGCCTGTTGACCCGAGGTACGATATTACCACGGATCATTCCCTGGTGATATCAGATGTTCAGATTGAGGATGAGACGACGTATTCTTGTGAGGTCTCTGTGCCTAATGCTCCTACAGGAAAGAACTATACAGCTCTGACGGTTATAGGTAAGTTAAACATATGCAATATCAATAAGATATTTTTTAATGCTTTGCTGTCCCTATCATGCCCTGGGGGAGGGGAGCGGTAGAGATCGAGATGGAGAGAGAAAGAGAGAGAAAGAGAAAACACTATAAAGAGGGTTCGAGAGACAAAGGGAGAGAGAGATAGAGAGAGAGAGAGAGAGAGAGAGAGAGAGAGAGAGAAGCAGGAGGAAAGGGGCGGGGGATAAATAAAATTCAGTTTTTATTTGCCGGATATTATTCTTCAACTTTCAACTACATTCCTTCATATTCGAAAATGCAATTTTTTGAAAATGACACTAATGGTGCAATTTCCTGAAATTCAAGCAATTGGCGAATAAGTTATGATGAGGTTAACTTCTTTTTACTTCAAGTTCTTCAAAGTGATACACAATGCAATGAATCTTTTGAAAATCTATTGTTGTTTGTGCCTTTATTCGACCTACGAATGCCATGAAGGAAAACATTGGTTAAGTTTATCTCGGTGTCCTGCCAGATAAATCTGTTTCCCATATCCCCTCCCCATTTTCTCAATTTTCCCGACAGCAGCGCAATTTGTCCGACAATATCCTGACAGGTGGGTTGGGGGGGGGGGGCAGGCCCGTAGCTACGTGAAGGGGGGGGGGGGGCACGGGAGGCAAGTGCCCCCCCCCCCAAAAAAAAAAAAAAAAAAAAAAAAAAAATGTCAAGATCGGTTGAACTTTTTAGACCCCTCCCCAGGACGTCGATCAATTACATGTATATGTGCCCCCCCCAAAAAAAACCATCTAACTCTGGCTACGGCCCTGGAGGGGGGGGGGGGACATATTATACTTTGGGAATTCCCACCTTTGTCAAAATCATCATTGAAAACATAATTATTTTTTTTTGGAATAAAATTTAAGTTTGTTTTTATTTTGGCTTTACATCACTTTATTAAACTTAGAGGATTAGGGAAAATCTATTCAACACCGCATTCCCTGAAACTACCGAAGTCTCGTTCGGCCCTTTCTCTCCCTTTATCTTTCTTTCTCTACCCCCTCTCCCTCTTCTTCCCCCCTTCTCTCTCTCTCTCTCTCTCTCTCTTTCTCTCTCTCCTTGTCTTTATATCTCTTTTCTTTGTGCCTCTCTCTCACTCTGCATCTGTCCATTGTTATCTCTCTCTCTCTCTCTTTTGTTTATGTATCTCTCCCTCTCTCTCTTTCTCTTTTTTTTTTCTCTCTCTCTCCTTCTCCCTCTTTCCCTCTCGATGTTTTTTGGCATAAAGCGAAGATAAGCTAATGGAATCCATGTATTTGGTGGGCTAAATTAGCAGATTTGTTGTAGAATTTTGAGAATTGCTATCCACAAATAGTTTTTATGAAACAATGGCCCTGGATGATAATTTGTTCTTCTTGAAATTGTATATCTATGACCAGCCCTCGCGAAAAAACTGTACCCAGTCGTGCGCGGCTGCATGGTGACCGAGCGTGCCAAGCCTGGGAAGTGCGTTTATGAAGTGAGGGCCGACACTGAAAACTTCGTTTTGATGTGCAGGGTGGAGCAGGTCAAACCGGTCGTTTCTCTCTCCTGGACTAATCAATATAATGATGAGAGGACAATAAATAGACTAGTCACAGGTCCTGATGAGGATGGACTTTTTAACGCTACCAGCGAACTCAGGGTGAGTGAAATATTATAATGGTTTGTAATCATTTTGAAGATGATGACAATAATATACTACTGCTGATGCTACTACTACTACTACTACTACTTCTACTACTACTACTACCACTACCACCACCACTACTACAACTAGTACCACTACTACAACTACTACAACTACTACTACTACTACTACTTCTACTACTACTACTACTACTACTACTACTACTACTACTACTACTACTACTACTACTGCTGCTACTACTACTATACTACTAATATACTACTACTACCACTTCTTCTAGTACTGCTCCTACTACTATAATTATGATACTACTACTACTACTACTACTACTACTACTAATACTTCTACTTATGTAGTGCACTTAAGGTAATCTTTAAAAAATTACCGTATTCAAAGTGCTCGTGTTATGACGAAATGTCAATTGATCACACTTTTGTTTTACATTTGTTTTAATGGTGTTACCATCATGTAGGTATCCAGAACAGAGATTGAGAATGGAGATTCCTTTGTTTGCAAAGCCACTGGTGAGAGTGTCAAGGGGACGTCAGCATTGGTGGTGACTGTTAAATATCCATCAGGTATGTCAATTAATCTGAAGCGTCTTTCACATAATAATGAAGCGGTAAACCGCGGCGTTTTTCTTGTTGTTGCGTGTTAATGATGACGTCAAGCGAATATGCTTCATAGTTATGTATCTTATAACAATGACAATGACGATGACAATTTATTCTCATGTCACCCTCATGGGGATATTGGAGAAGTTTTCACTCAGTTCGAATTTGTCAATTTAACACTGTATACAGTATACAATTCAAATCGAATTAATGGTAATCAATACAAATATCACTATCGACGATAATAAGAAAATTTATGATGATGATAATAAGAAATAAAATTAATAATTATTACTATAAATAAAATAAAAAAAATTGTTGGGGGAAGGGGGGGGGGAGGGGTAAAATAACCATTTCTGGTCTTCTTTATTTCCTCATAATAATATATACATCTTCGCATTTTTAGCATTTGCCTCCATTTCTGGAGGGATATACATGTACATGATTTTTTAATATTTTGTTATTATCTGTAAACGATAATTCAATAGGTAAAACGAAATATGAAGAAGTCTCTGTTTTTGTTCTTTTCTTTTTAAATTCTTTTCCAACAAAGCTTTGGTGAATAGTGAAAGGTGCATAATTCAAATAATATCAACATCATTTTCCTTTTTTGAATTAAATTCAATACAAAACAATAGATGACATGTTTATTAACTTCTTTTCATGACTTCGTTACAAGAAAAGAACATTGCATACAATCACCTGGCTGATTACAATAATAACATTGCTCAGTGGCATTTACTTTCCATTTAAACAAATTATTTAGTATTACTGAAACATGGCACAATAATTTTAAATTGAAATTGATCAGTAAACCGTCTTTTATACCTTTTAACTTTAACATCCAAACATTTGACCATGCATGTATAGTTGTATACATTCGATTCCTAAAGTATTAAGCTTAGATTCTTCGATTTTTGTTTTAATCAACTACAGTTGTAATGATACATTATTTTAACTGTCATATGTCTTACTGAAATCTCACCCTCAACCAATGTTATATCATTAGTTACAATAGCTGTGGATCTAAATTTCACATATACACTGTTGGTCATAAAGGTGGATTATTTTTTTTTAACACCAATTTATGGAATGATTGTGAAAATTATTTATTCTTAATAGATGTAGATAATAGTATACATTCTCAGATTTTATTGAATAATAGTTTGCGAGTTTTTGTTTTGCGTAACTGCTAAAGCATGCATGTGCTACTATGCTTAGGAACTAGGGGACCTACGTCCTTAAGTCATAACTGACAGTAATGAGGATTAATGCAGGCTCACAAAAGGGCACTTATATAGCACATGTACACGGTTTTGATCCTGGGGTCTCACAGATATGAGGCCATTGTTTTGCCACTGAATCATTACTGTACGCAGCGGGAAATAGGGTAGGGGGCAGCCCCCCCCCACAAATACAAAAAAAAAGAAAATGCAATAAATTATCAATAATTCATTGCTTTTTACCCCGGTCCCCAACAGGACAAATTCCTCTGTGTGGCGATGCCTTGAACCATAATGCATGGCCGTACAGAGAATTTCAGTAATGTAATGGGCCGCCAATTTCCTAATTCCACCTCAACCACCTTTGAATATCAAAGTAATGACTCCTTTCCTTTGCAAATAGCTTAGCTTACCCTTTTCCTCAATAATAATAATAATAATAATAATAATGATAACAATAATAAATAAAATCAAAAAATGAGAAAGATAATTACAACGATAATTAATGACAAAATTAATGGAAGCAATTTAACAAAACAGTTACTTGCACTAGTAAATTTTTATTTGAATTGATGAATTACTGAAAATATTCCTAATATTAATTTTTATAACTTGATATAAGACAAAAAGGAGAAACATAAAGATAATATTGAACTCATAACATGTTATGTGCAGATACTTAAATTAATGAAAACGAGACGTTATTTTTCGACAGAATTGTACTAAGTTTAAACGTGTTTGTACATTATTGGAGTTCAAAAGCTGATCCATTTTCAGTGTATTCGGTCTTTCAATAAAATAGTTATCGAGGAACAATTTACCGTCTGAACGAACATACAAAAAACGATTGGCTGGAATGCTTACTCCCAATGAAATGGGGGGGGGGGGGGGGGTGATCGTTAATCTGCAGAATCGTATTATAATCCATCGACTGGGTCAATAATACTAGAATCCTTTTGGTCGGTTACGTTATAACTGGTAAGGTGCTATTACGAAATAATTATTAGTAATATCGTAATTTTTCTTCCTCCTCTATATTTAATATCCGTTTTCTTCTTCTCTTCTTCTGTTTTGTTTTTCTTCTTTACTTCCTATTACGCTTCTTCTTCTTCTTTTTCTTCTTCTTCTTCTTCTTATTATTATTTTTATTATCATCATCATTACTATAATTATTATTATCATTATAATGAATATCATCATCATTATTGTAATTTACGTTTGTATTATTTATTATTATATACCTCACTTAAGTAATCCAGCAATCTGATTGGTCGAAATTGCATTCATAAACTTTAACTGTTCCCGAAAATTCTCGGTAACCATGGTTAAAAAACAGTTAAAAATCCCAATAACCATGGTTATTGGGAAAATAGGTCAGTCTCCATGGTTACCCCATAGGTTTACATGTTAAAAAATGGTCTGAGCGATCGAGGATACCGTACGTGTGCGAAGAATTGGTCGGTAATTTCAATACAATTGAATCTCGATCGATCTTACCGACAATTTTATCTTGCATTGTTGACATGAAGACGAAAATAAACTTAAAAAAACAAAAAAAACAACATCTGCCGATAGATCTTGATCTAAGTTCGTGCCAATATGCATTGCAAAAGTAAAAGAAGGGCCCGTTTAATGGAGCAGCGGCGAAGCATCGACCACGCGAAGCCGTTTTCAATTCATTTAAATGTATATATTTAAGAAAACTACTGTACATGGTGACAGTGCGCGCTGGCCGAGCGGTTTGAGGCGCTGACTGCAGTTGCATCACCTTTTCTACGCAAGAGTTCGAATCCCAACTTCGACAAAAGTTTTTTTTTTTTTTTCGGCATATAAAAGTATTAATGACTGCTTTAATATTCGAGAAATAGTTGTTTTTATACGCTCTCGGGAAGGTTACAATTGGGCTATTCCCCTCGGCACGCCTCGAGGAATAGCACAATTCTAACCTTCCCTTGAGCGTATGCCGAGGGGAATAGCCCAATTGTAACCTTCCCGAGAGCGTATAAAAACAACTATTTCTCTCAAAGCAGTCATTAATACTATACTATTATATACTGTTATTATTATTTTCAGCATTAGTGCTATTATTCAGATTTATAAATGTTATCTTCTCAATGTATTCTTATTTTACCTGCTGAGGAAGGTCTTTCAAGTGGAGGGAAAGCTGGGATTGCCATATTTGTTCTCATCGTCATAGCCGTTATCGGCATCGGCATCGGCTTTTTTCTTTGGAGAAGTAAGTTCAGATTTTATTACCACGAATTACACGAATTATTAAAGATTTAATGATGCAGACTTAAATATTATTTGTCCACGCAATATAGAAATTTGACTTCCATTTGAGTCACACGCAGTCTAGATGTAAGCTATTATGACATAATTAGGAGGGTTAGAAAGGGGTTCACTCATTCTCTCAAGTTAAACATGCATGCATCGTTGAATTCCGAACAAAATCTTTTCCATACAATTTATATATTTTGTCCAGGTGATGCTTAGTACCATGGGTGTCGATCCCGGGGGGGGGGGGGGGGGGGGGGGTTGGGGGGATATATCCCCCCCCCCAATATTTCAGGTGGGGGGATGGCCTGTACAATCATCCCCCCAATAATTCACCATCAAAACAAACAAAAAATGAAGAGAAAAATTAAGGATGAGAGCCCGATGAGAGTAGTTGATGGTTATTACTCGCAAGATGACCATCAATATGCACAGTTTGCTATCTCATTTTCATAATACATACATATATACGAAGTAAATAAGACAACCGTATATGAGACAAGAATAAATTGAATTCTCGCTCATACGGCTTCATCAGGAATTGATGATTTATTCAATTTGTTCAATCAACAGCATCTTAGAAATGCAGTGCGCCAAATGCAAAGACGCAGCGTCAAAAAAGCAACGAGCTAAATGTTAAGCGCGAAGCGCAAAAATAGCAATCTGCAATGCACATCAGACAATCCTGGACAGTGTAAACATAGATGACCTCTGTGACGATTTCGTGATGAGATCGGAGACAAGGAGAAAGATTTTCGGACATTAGTATGACTTTATAAAATAGTTCTCTAGTTATGTTGTTTCAGTTCACCCTTTTTAAAATTCACGTCATTGTATCTTTATTTTTGTTTTTTTTACTCATTTTATTTCCTGATATTTCCTAAAAGATTTTTCATTTTTGGAGAAAGATTATTATGTCACAACTTATTTGCAACACAAATTATTTTCAGTGGGGAAACTGAATTCAGACGTGGATTAAGCGTAATAATCAAATGAAACGTCAAAGTACACGATACAACGAACTGTCTTCTTTTACGAATAATTTAATGAAACGTGAAAGCTTCCGCGCTAAGCGCGGAATGGGCGAAAATGAATAAAGACTAGGATTAAGAGTAATAATTTATTGAAACGTTAAAGCTTCCGCGCTTCGCGCGGTAGGGGGGAAACTGAGTTCATGAAGGACACTATACAACAAATCGTCTTCTTTCTCTAATGTGAAAGCTTCCGCGCTTTGCGCAGGAATGGGCGAAAATGAATTCAGACAAGGATTAAGAGTCGAGAATGGTACATCGAATCGTCTTCTTTCTTTAATAATCTAATGAAACGTCAAAAGGGGAAGGGGAACTTGATTCAAACATTAAGGATTAAGAGTCGAGAATGGTACATCGAATCGTCTTCTGTCTTTAATAATCTAATGAAACGTCAGAGCTTCCGCGCTACGCGCGAAGGAAGGGGAACTTGATTCAAACAAGGATTAAGAGTCGAGAACGGTCCAACGAATCGTCTTCTTTCTCTAATAATTTAGTGAAACGTCAAAGCTTCCGCGCTTTGTGGGGGGGGGGGAACTCACCCTCCCTGCACGCAACCCCCTAGGGACCGCGCTTTGCGTGCTCACTACCGCCCCCTAAAATGAAATCCTGGCTACGCGCTTGGGAGGGGTGCAACTTGCCACACGCTTCTACCTCTTGATTGCTTTGATCCATTGCCGAAAATATTTTGGCACCTATCATCCCCCTAACCACGGATACAAATCGACACCCTTGCTTAGTACTTCGACCTACAAATGAATTTGATCAAAAGGAGGAGAAAAAAGGAGAAAAAATAGAAGGAGAGGAAGAGGAAGAAGAAAGGGGGGAAGAAGGAGGAGAGAAGGAAGAGGAGGATGAGAAAAAAAGAAGCATTACATACTTGATATTTTAGTTCATAACATTTTAAACAGAAGATATGTACATGTACTTAAATAAGGTACGACAAATGCGTTCAAAGCTAAAATACACAGTTATGATTTACAACATGATCTTTCATTTATGACGTCATACAGGAAAGAAGGAGCAGGAGAAGAAGGAGGCGAAGCGGGAGGCGGAAATGAAGGATCCTGAAATGGAGCCTCTGTCACCATTACAATGTAAGAATATGACAATAAAAAAAGAAACTAGACCTGCAATCGTGGCACAACGATATGCGTGCAATGACGGGCGATCTGGCACTAACGGTCGTCTATACTAACATAATTATCAACAGTATAATATGGTGTCTAAAATGGAATTAACTCACAATTTTGTGTGTGAACATATATCATACTTGGTATCATCCGAGAGGGCACTTCATTGCGGTCAGTTTGACACTATTGTCATCTGCGCGCAATGTACTGCACGCATTTAACACGCTATTACGTAATGCATAGTAAATTCATAATTTTTAGCGATAACTTTGCGCTGACGTCATTGAAATTTACCAAACTTAGCGGACAGTTGTCATGTATATTGATACATGTGTCTGACAAGTTTCATTGTTGTAGGTATAATGATCGCAATTTTAGAGCGAGTTGAAGTTATTTCGCAATTTTCTTGAAAATGGCGAATTTGGAGGGCAATTTTCTCAAACTTGGTCAATAAAAGGGTATATAATTTTGTATATGGCTGGAAAGGGCATATGTTCAAGTATCTAAATGCAAAAAAAGGGTACGGGATTGCTAAGACACAATAGAGATACGGCCACAGAAAGAAAGCCAAGTCCCAGAACTTTAGAGGGTGCTATTTATGTTTTGCATATTCATTGGAGCGTGAAATTAAGCATGACTATGCGCAATCGTAAGATAAGGATACGGTGAGATTTAAAAACAAAACGGAATTTATATGATAAAGTTATGGCAGTTTTAGAGTTATACGGGTCATTTTTTCAAGAATTTGAGAGATATTTGATGGAGTCGGTTTCGGATTTGAATTTTGAGTACGAAGATGGCATTTTGAAGGGCAGGTTATTTGTCGCAGATGAAAGAACATCTCTTAAACTATCTAGAGGACTTTATTAGAAGATTGTAGGATCTAGGATAGTGGAGATAGGAAGGAAGAAAGAAAGGCCTAAAAATGGACCAGAAACGGACAAAATAGCGCCTGGATGGTTATGCATGAGTGATTGTGAAAATCGAAAAAATAGGTGATCTTGATGAGATGCTAGAGACTATGCCTATGAAATTTAAACGGAAATGGACATGAGAAAAGCACCTAACTAGGAATAACAAACACTACGTGCAAAACGAATGTGATTTCCTGGTAAGAAGAAGAAGAATACTAGACCTGCAATCGTGGCACAACGATATGCGTGCAATGACGGGCGATTTGGCACGGTCGTCTATACTAACATAATTATAAACAGTATAATATGGTGTCTAAAAAGCGATTAACTCACAATTTTGTGTGTGAACATATATCATACTTGGTATCATCCGAGAGGGCACTTCATTGCGGTAAGTTTGACACTATTGTCATCTGCGCGCAATGTACTGCACGCATTTAACACGATATAACGTAATGCATAGTAAATTCATCATTTTTAGCGATAACTTTGCGCTGACGTCATTGAAATTTACCAAACTTGGCAGACAGTTGTCACGTATATTGATACATGTGTCTGACAAGTTTCATTGTTGTAGGTTTAATGATCGCAATTTTAGAGCAAGTTGAAGTTAATTCGCAATTTTCTTGAAAATGGCGAATTTGGAGAGCAATTTTCTCAATTTTGGTCAAAGATAGGGTATATAATTTCGTATATGGCTTGAAAGGGGATATCTTCGGTTATCTAAATCCAAAAAAGGGTACGGGTCTGCGAAGTCATAATGAAGATACGGCCACAGAAAGAAAGCCAATTCCCAGAACTTTGGAGGGCGCTATTTATTTTGTGCATAGGTATTGGAGCGTGAAATTTGGCATGGCTATGTGCAAATATAAGATAAAGATACTGTAAGACTTGAATACAAAACGGAATTTATATGAAAAAGTTATGGCAGTTTTAGATCACTTTTCAAGAATTTTAAAGATTTTTGACGGAGTCGGTTTTGGATTCGAATTTTAAGTACAAAGATTGCATTTTGAAGGTCAAATTATACATCGCAGATGAAAGAACATCTCTCAGACTATGTAAAGGAATTTGTTAGAAGTTTGTAGGATCTAGGATAGTGAAGATAGGAAGGAAGAAAGAAAGGCCTAAAAATGGACCAAAAACGGACAAAATGGCGCCTGGATGGTTAAACATGAGTGAATTCGAAAATCAAAAAAGTATGTGACCTTGATGATATGCTAGAGACTATGCCTATGAAATTTGAATGGAAATGGACATGAGGAAAGCACCTAACTAGGAATAACAAACACTATGTGCAAAACGAATGCTATTTTCTACAAAGAAGAAGAACTAGATTTGTAATACTTGTTTTGAACAAGTATAGGTGGGCTGTTTCAATTAAAAATTAAAAGGCACATTTGTGATAGCTTATTGTCTCAGCTTCAACATACTCGAAGCTCAGCGAACACGAAGCTAAAACGACGTAGATATTGCTCGCGAAAGACGGGAATGTAGAATCGAGTTTTGAGAAAAACTCATGTCCCATAGAGAATACACGCAAAATTTGAAAAATTGACATGCCTCCTTTAATCGCAAAAATTCGCCATGATGCTTTTGTCAAAATGAACAATCGTGAAAACTTTTTTGTAGAAAATTGTCTCCGCTAGAACTATTTAAAATTTGGAAAAAAATTGATTAATATTTACAGAGATACCATCAATTTTTCAAAAAATATGCTGACGTCATAATATGCAAATTGAAATTATGAGTTTGGAGGCCGTTATGGTGACGTCTTGAGTTTATTGAGGGTCAAATGAGACATGAAACAACATCTCTGAATCATACTCTATTGAAATATGAAAATAAATTGGGGTCACCTTGCATCCTAAAGAGCTACAATGGTTTTGTATAGGCATGTTTTTGCCCATATATGCTATGTATTACAAGAGCTCGCGCGCACGGAATTTTTTGTTAAACGGTCGGTCATTCCGTTATTAATAGTCATAAAGAGACAAACATGGTATCCATTTGTTTGTAAAAATATCTGAAATATCATGAAAGCAAAAAAAAATGGCGATTCTATGCTGTGTAATAGTTTTACGCGCGAAAACGCGCGCGCATGCGCGTGTGCGCAATTTGTTATAAAGTGCTTAGAATGGCCTAAAACGTATGCAAAATGATTTTGAGACGATTTTGAGCATTTCAAAAGGTCAAATTATACATCGCAGATGAAAAAACATCTCTCAGACTATCTAAAGGAATTTGTTAGAAGTTTGTAGGATCTAGGATAGTTAAGATAGGAAGGAAGAAAGAAAGGCCTAAAAATGGACCAGAAACGGACAAAATAGCGCCTGGATGGTTATGCATGAGTGATTTCGAAAATCGAAAAAATAGGTGACCTTGATGAGATGCTAGAGACTATGTCTATGAAATTTGAACGGAAATGGACATGAGAAAAGCACCTAACTAGGAATAAAAAACACTACGTGCAAAACAAATGCGATTTCCTGACGAGGAAAACAAGAAGAATATTAATGGTGCAGAATGTGAACGAAAACAAGGCAATGACGAAGATCGTCATTGCAATTAAGGACAAAGAGCGTTCCGTTATAAGATATAATTTAAAAGCCTATAATGAGATCATGTCTGAATGTGATTCTCTAATTATTATAACCAGTTACGAACTTGAAGCAAATAATAATTTTCATCGTAGGATTTTAATAGGAGCTGATCATGTTTGTCCCCTACAAACTTTGGGGGTATTCCACCTGTATGTATCATAGTTAAATGTGATTGTTATGAGGCAAAATATAACATATAGCTCCGTTTAGTCTCATTTCACAACGCCCCCTATCGTCAGAGTCAGCAGCCTAAGATGTTAGCCTATAGAATTTTACCATAAAAAAAAAATCATTGAAAATTCATTTTTTGTTTAACTCTTTGTTTGCTTTGTTCGCCGATTTGCACGGACGTAGGCGTGCCAACTTCGCATTTTTGCACAGATGTATACGAGTCAATTAGACATTCATAATACCGCTCGCAGTGTGTAGCCACGCGTTGCGTTTACTATTGTTTACATTGTATACATCGCACACTTTCCGGTAAACTGTTTTTCTTCATAGTGTTACATTCGAAATTACCGTGTATTTAGCGGTTTTCTTTGGATTTTTTTTACTGATGTTACGATGGCACCTGCTGGAAAACGTCAACGTGTGTTTAGTGTAGAGGAGGCTCGAGATCTTGTTACTATGGAAGCATGGAGCATGGACTCTGATTCCGACGAATCGAGCAGTGACGAAGACTCTAGTGATAAAAGTGTTCCCTGAGAGTAGACTGATAGAATAAGAATGAATAAAAATTAATGAAAGAGCTAGAGATGACAGCAAGAAAGAGAGTAGACTGATAGAATAAGAATGAATAAAAAAAATGAAAGAAGGAGATAGAGATGACAGCAAGAAAGAGAGTAGACAGTGATAGAATAAGAATGAATAAAAATAATGAAAGAAAGAGATAGAGATGACAGCAAGAAAGAGAGTAGACTGATAGAATAAGAATGAATAAAAATTAATGAAAGAGCTAGAGATGACAGCAAGAAAGAGAGTAGACAGTGATAGAATAAGAATGAATAAAACTAATGAAAGAAAGATGTATCCTGTCTTGCCGTCATCTTTATATCTTTCTTTTATTATCTTTATTCATTCTTATGCTATCAGTGTTTACTCTCTTTCTTTCCGTCATCTCTATCTTATTATTATTATCATTTTCCTATCTATATGTACCCTATGTCTTGCCGTCATCTGTATATCTTTTTAGGTGGTCTGTCAACGACAGATCACCTATTGTTTTCGTCAGAATTTTCTTTCTTTATTTATTTATTTATTATTATTTATTTTTATTTCTCCCCGTTTTTTGTTCATCGTTTAACTCAAGATCGGTTGTGTTAATTTCTTTCAATTTTGACACAGTCATAGGTCATTGTCATGAGACGTGACAGTAACCTTTTCAAGGTCATCAGGTCATCGTGACGTCATCCAGGCGCCATTTTGTTATATCACGTTATCCATCATATGTTCATGATGCCTAAGCAAAGGTCATTCATATTCATATCACATATACTTCAGGTCAAGGGTCAACAAGTCATGTCATCAAAGGTCACATAAAGGTCATGACGCGCACGTACGCGCGCGTCAAAATTTAAAAATGCTCAAAATCACTTAACTATTAAACGAGAGTACGAATCAGGTCATTTTAAGCATTTCAAAAATTTCCGTCCGTACTTGTCCCCGCGCGCGGTGCGCGCGCTCACAGCGCGCGGAAAAGGTCAAATTCAAAATATGTACATGATTTAGATTCCTCTTAACGTAATTGACAATTTACATTAATTTCAGTCACTCTTCATATTTCATAAGGCCGTGAGCGTGCGTCAAAGTTCAAAATCCGCGCGTGCTGCTATGGGCAATATAATGTAAATTTGATCAAAAACATGCTACTTTATGAATCGAAATAGCTCTTCAGATAGTCCGTCGACCCCCAATTTTTATATCATGGTTGGAAAGAGCATGAGTTGGAGATATGATTTCATACCACCCTGACTCGTACAAAGTGAAACAAAATCTTCATATTTGCATCTAAACTAAAGAAAATGTATTTTGTTGATGACGTCATTTTTGTCTTTGTTTAATTGAGATTATCTCGCTTATCAGTGATCGATTTTCTCCCAGATTTCGATATGTTGTAGCTGAGATAATTCTCTATCAAAAATATGCCATTCATTTTTCATTTCGATGACGTCATCATAGTTAAATATTCCATTAAAGGCGACAATGCATAATTTGTCATATTTGCTTGTTATGTCTATGGGAGGTCACTTTTTTCAAAACATGAATCTGCCTGACAATGTGTTTTGACCTGTGTCTCGGTGGTTATTCAAACAGTTTTCAACCAAATCTTAGTATGTTGTAGCTGAGACTATATGCTTTCTAAATATTCCCTCATTTTTTCAATCAGATGTCAGAATCATGCTCATACTCATCATCGTCATCATCATCATCATCAATATCATCATTATCATCATCATCATCAATGTCACCATCATCATCATCATCATGGTCTGAAGATGATGATCATCAACATCACCATGATCATGATCATTATCATCATCATCATCATCATGGTCTGAAGATGATGATCATCAACATCACCATGATCATGATCATTATCATCATCATCATTAACATTATCGTTTTTATCATCATATAACATTTTCATTATCATGATCATCATCACCTTTACTATCATGATCATCATCATGTTCATCATGATCATCATTGTTTACATGTCTATATAACTTCTCCCATTCTCAAATCTATCATAAGACTTAGACAGACCACCTTATTCGTCTTCGTGACGAATTGAATTTCTAGTTCTTATTATCTTTATTCATTATTATGCTATGAGTGTAATACTCTCTTTCTTGCCGTCATCTCTATCTCATTATTATTATCATTTTCCTATCTATATGTACCCTATGTCTTGCCGTCATCTCTATATCTTTCTCTTATTATCTTTATTCATTCTTATGCTATCAGTGTTTACTCTCTTTCTTTCCGTCATCTCTATCTTATTATTATTATCATTTTCCTATCTATAATTATGTACCCTATGTCTTGCCGTCATCTCTATATCTTTCTCTTATTATCTTTATTCATTCTTATGCTATCAGTGTTTACTCTCTTTCTTGCCGTCATCTCTATCTTATTATTATTATCATTTTCCTATCTATATGTACCCTATGTCTTGCCGTCATCTGTATATCTTTCTCTTATTATCTTTATTCATTCTTATGCTATCAGTGTTTACTCTCTTTCTTGCCGTCATCTCTATCTTATTATTATTATTATTTTCCTATCAATATGTATCCTATGTCTTGCCGTCATCTCTATATATTTCTCTTATTATCTTTATTCATTCTTGTGCTATCAGTGTTTACTCTCTTTCTTTCCGTCATCTCTATCTTTTTATTATTATCATTTTCCTATCTATATGTACCCTATGTCTTGCCGTCATCTCTATATCTTTCTCTTATTATCTTTATTCATTCTTATGCTATCAGTGTTTACTCTCTTTCTTTCCGTCATCTCTATCTTATTATTATTATCATTTTCCTATCTATATGTACCCTATGTCTTGCCGTCATCTCTATATCTTTCTCTTATTATCTTTATTCATTCTTATGCTATCAGTGTTTACTCTCTTTCTTTCCGTCATCTCTATCTCATTATTATTGTTATTTTCGTATCAATATGTATCCTGTCTTGCCGTCATCTTTATCTCTTTCTCTTATAATCTTTATTCACAGTAAAGTCCTTTCATTTCATATCACTATTTCTCTCTCATAATGTCTCTCACGTCCGTTCTCCATATTTTATTCATTGCATACTCCACTCGTCAATCATTTCTGATAATAAGCTCTCTCACAATAAAGTAAATGGAAAACAATGCAATATAGTTTATATTTTAAGATTGATTCATTCTTTCTTTGTATATCTATGGCTGTGATAAATGTACTTGAAATCAATTTTATTGAGGGGTAAAGAAGGTGAGAGAACAGATGCGGTGAACATTCATAATGAGACATTTCAATAAGATGCTGATTATGTCATGTATATCACATATAATATATTATGCCTATACCATTTTTACATGCTCATACCAGTGGGCAAAATCAATAACATTCTCTTATTTCTTATTGACTTATCATGGCACAACAAAGAAAAACATCCCCACGACGTCCCTTTTCATGCCCCGCTAAACCGGACATTGACAATAACCTGGGGTAATAGGGATTTCAATGGGCAGATTAGCCCATTGTCAAGGGTGGCTGAGCGGGGTACTTTCAAGTCTCTCCCTATTGAACTTCTTTTCTTCAACAACCTAAATACTAACCTTCTGAATTGTTAGAATACTTGAGCAAGGTATGTAAAGAAAGGTAAGAAGTCCACCTTTCTAATAGATTCGATTTGAAGATGTCTTATCATTGCTAAATAAGAAATTCTAGAGGGATAAAAAACTGCCGTAAATAAGAAAAATTAAACATTATATAATTATGATTATTATAAAAATGATAATTCAAAATATAACAAATGACGGTTCATCGAAAAGCACGTTTTCCGGTCTACAACTTTGCTGCACAATATTTTTCATCATGATCATCCAGTGAAGAGTTATAGCCTCTTGATTCAGCAGAGTCAATAAAGATTCCCTCGAAATGTGTGACCCTAAAAGAATGTGGCACAGGGGGGTTTTTTAAGTGGCGCATAAAGAGTTAAACGAAAAGCACATCCACCCGACGTACGTTATCACTAGCTCTTTCATTGGAACCCTCATGTCCTATTGACTTTTGAAAGTTCACCCACCGTAATTTGATCAAAATAGGTTGCAAGCTCGTCATTGCCTATAATACATGTGAAACAAGTCGAACTTTGGACTCAGTTTGCCAAGCGATTTTAAGATTATAGGTCAAGCACACGAAGGATAAGAAGCATGAATTATCATAGATCACTTCTGCTTGGTTCATTATGTCTATTTCATCCAACCCCCCCCCCCCCACCGTCATTTGTCCATTTGGTCAAAGCAAACATTTTGCAGAGGTAAGCAAAAACATGAATATTCATGAACGGTCAGACAATACAGCCTTTTAGTACGTAACGTATAGTGAATGGGAATGGGCGATGATCCGTCCAGGAGGTAGAGGTCAGTGGTTTGTGCTGGCAATGTTCCAGCGAGCGAAAATGAGACAACCGGAACAATATGCTTAAGTTGGGCATGGAATTACCAATAAAGCACCGTTTAGACGTGGGATGGTAAATAGCAGCTGTTTTATTTTGCTATGGTGACGTATTAGTGCAATACACTTTACAATTCTATATCTTATAACACATAGCTTTATTTTAAAACACAAAATATCACGGTTGTTCATCATATCTGGACAAGAATTTAGTTGAGCGGACACATAAATGCATTCAAATTTTATCAAAAAAGTTTTAAAGTGTTCTTCCTTTCTTTTTGCCCCACTAGCTAAATTCGAAGTTTTAGCCGAGAAAATCAAAAACTACAAACCGGGGTCCTTTTCTAGGCTGGAAAAAAAGAAAGGCCGCATTTGGCCGGAGGTAACCCGATTGGGTGTGTTCGGCGTGACGAATGCTGGGAAGTCCTCTCTCGTACGATCCCTCAATTTTTCTCTCACAGGTAAGAACTTGACCTACACTCACGGTTGCCCAAAAAGTTGTAACAATTTTTCTCCACCTCCTTGTATGAAATAATTTGTAACAATTTTATTACTCTTAATGGTTTTTTTTTCTTCTTTTTCTTCTCCTCAGAACTGTATTGATCAATCTATGTGACTCTCATATCGGGAGTTTATTTCAACTTGCAAAATCTCCATACAGGAGAAACATTTGACGCTCATATTTTGAATAATAGTAATACGACATGGAACTACTAATAAACGAAACAACTTAATATTTGGTGATTAGTACACTTTAAATTGGAAAATCTTTCTACAGTAGTAACATTTGTCACTCATATTTTGAATGATAGTGTTACGACCTATCAATATAAGAAACGATTTACTTTTAGTGTATGTGTGTGATTTGTACACTTTAAGGTGAATTCATCGACGTCGAAGTGGCCACATCTGAGTCCATAGGGGGCCTAACCACCATCCCAAAGCCGTTTTGCCTCACCGACCATCTCACCGTAGTTGATAACCGGGGACTGAAGGATCTAGATGTCTCCGGCATCAACGGCATTATGGACCAGATTCGTGAGTACTAATTTTGTTCGCTAGGGACTTTCGTAGTTATGAACTTCAAAGCAGTAATGTTCGTGCATCGTGAATACATAACCAAGGGACAGTAAGCAGCTAACGTGCGGATAAACATTACTGCATAACGTCCTCAAACAACGACCAACCAAAGCCCCGTCTTAATAGAACTTTTTCGATCTCACCCGAGCGATATGTGGATGAGAAACAGTGGGGGGTCTGATCGTAAAACACGTGGTGAGCACCTCACCCGGGTAGGTTACCATAACAACCGCCACCTGTTCATCGCGATCAGCTGGCGCGCGCTGTGTAGATGACATGTAAATTACGGGTATTGTCACTATGAATATGACAGACAAAGAAAGCGGACAAAACATACAGTTCCTCAGGTAGACAAAGGAACATCCCTTCACTGCTATTATGTAAAAATGTGTAGAACAGGTGTCACATGCACATTCACCATTTTACATAATAGCAGTGAAGGGATGTTCCTTTGTCTACCTGAGGAACTGTATATTTTGTCCGCTTTCTTTGTCTGTCATGTTCATAGTGTGTATATATTTTTCACGGCGATGACGTAATTTACCCGGGTAACATTCCGCGAGCGTCTTAATAGGCCGTTTATCAGAAAGTCGTCTGGACGACGTCCGGACGTCACCCTCCTATCACCCTAGCTCGTCTAGGGTGAGATTTACATCGATATCGTCCAGACGTTATCCCGATTGACACGTCTAATTGGCAGTGGGTAAATAGTCGTCCGGACGACGTCCGGATGTCACCGCGACTTTTTTTTCCAATTAAGACGGGGTTTTACAACAACCACCCGGACCTGAGTTTGCACGGCACCAAAATAAATGCTCAAAGTAGGCGGTCGATGTAGCTAAAGGCGGAACCGCGAATTTTAAAATTGTCTCCACGTGGCATTGCTTGTAGATTGCGTGGTAACCATAACATTGCTCGTTGTTTAAAGCTTTATGAAAACTTTAATATACCTAACTTCAGGTCTTGTTTGATTTTGACACTGCATGGTCGCAAAAGGGAAAAAAATCTAAGGAAAAAGGAGAAGACGAAGAAGAGAAGATGAAGCAGGGGATAAAGACGGAGTTTAAGAAGAAGAAGTAAAAGTAGTGAGACAGGATGAGAAAAAGAAAAAAAAATAGAAAGAAGAAGAAGAAGAAAGACGAAGGGAGGAGAAGAAGAAGAAGAAATAGTAGAGAAAGAAGAACTGGTGAACTTATACTTAAGGAGGAGAGGTAAAACAAGGGGAAAAGAAGAAGGAGGAGGAGAAGAAGAAGAAGCGGCTCCTTGTTATGGTGTTGATACACCTACACTGTATTTAAATGGTATTGTGCTTAAGTGATGGTTCACTGAAGTAAAATCATAGGAGCCGCTTGCATGGCTGGTGTGACGGTCAGATCACATAGTAAATTGGAACTATGAGGGAAAATCCTTAAATAGCTTACCGCCGAGCGTTCGAGACGGGCCGCACTGTCCATTTCAGCATAAACGTTTGTTGTACGTTTATGATTTCAGGGATCTTATTTTAGGCGTCAAACCTCTCTCATAAAATGAGTTGTGAGTTGGTCTAGCAGTAATAGGGACTTTTAGAACTTTTGAACGTCGACATAATGGACTGCTACGTGTGACTTCCTTTTAAGACACTGGCAGTGCCTTAAAAGGAAGTGACAGTGCCATAAAACACCCGATACGAGCTGCGACATTAAAGTCATTGACCAATTTTGGAAAAAAGATGCAATATGTATCGACCCGTTTTTGTATCACATCCAACATGTGTTGGAGCTGCGTCCAGTAGTCATTAACGCTATTTTAAGACCTACTTTTTGTGGTTAGACTCATTAACCAGGCGACAGCGCCCAGCAACATTGTTTTCTACAAACTACTGTAGCGCCAGGTTACCCGGCCATACATCCAGGGGCAGATCAAAGACTTTACAGGGGGGGGGGGGGGGGGAGGAAGCTTGAAATAAACGAAATTGCGAGAATGAAGCCTTCAACTGGATGCGGTCCCCGGATAATCTTAGCCTTTAGGCAGATTCTGAGGCCTATCCAAATGGTTAAACAGAATATGTATGTGAACACATTTTTTTCGGGAGAAAAAAAAAGGGGGGGGGGGGTGCGCCTCCCAGTACCAGGCATCCACTGGATCTGGGCAGCGTTTCATGAAACCGTCATAACTACAAGTTCACCGACATCCCATTGAAACGTGTGTTAAACTTAATACACACATTTCAATGGGATGTCGTTGGACTTGTACTTATGACGGTTTCATGAAACGCTGCCCAGATCCCCGACACCGAACTTTTAGACATCGTATTGAAACGTGTGATAGAGATCTAACACGTGTTTCTACCAAATCTCCACGAACTTAGACTTATGGCAGTTTCGAGAAACTAGCACTCGCTCTGAATCTGGCGCATCCACGGCCACGCTGGAAGCTCGAATCTGACCGCCTGCGATGCATGCCCTGGACGCGACGGCAGCCCGCTCTCGAGCTAACTCTCCATCGCATCGTGCAGCTGTCTTTCTTCTCGTTCACGAACACGGTTGCCCGACTGAAACAACTAGACCACATTAGTATCCTGACATCAAGATCAAGGTCTCTATTATGTGCCCAGCCGTCTGATTAAGGTAGGTTCTGCAGTAACACCGTATTTTATTCTTTTTTTAAAATAAATCTAACTTGCACATTCAAATGGAAATAGGATACCTAGGCTGGTGGACATCACGAACCATGTCCCTGGTTTTGTCCACACATAGCTGCATTACTATCCTGGCTGTGCAGCTGTGTATTAAAAACTGTTCATATTGATTTTCAGCATTTCAAACTACACTGTACAAAACTCAACTGATTTCACTCAAAATCGGTACTTTAGTGATAGTTGATGCCCGCCCCCCCCCCACTCAGTGTAATTTTGAAAGCACCCCCTATCTGAGGACTGCCAACATTTTCGAACCACCCTTTCGCGGGCTTTTCACAGGCTTTTCCTGCCTTGGAGACCCCCCTAAATCAGGAAAAATGCTCAATGTACCCCCCTAAATTCAGAATAATTTCTCAGGAGTCAAAAGAGATGAGAGAAAAAAAAAGAAAAAACACTCCCTTTTTTAAGAAATCGCCGGGTGAAAAGTCAAATACACCCCTTTTTCTACAATTCTCGGGCTGGACTTTGTCGCACGAAAAGTACCCCTTTACCGGACATTTTGGTAACACGCATGCGGTCATTCCGACCCCTGCGTGGGGGGGGGGGGGGGGGTAAAGTCAATACGGGTCGACCTTTTCTTTTGTTATATGAGCCTTTTTCAGCACCCCCCCCCCCCCCCCCCCTTTCAGCAAAAGTCCGGTGTGTAAAGTCAATACGGGTCGACCTTTTTCTTTTGTTACGAAAAGGACATTTTGGTAACACACATGGGCTCCATCCGTTCTCGGAGTGGGGGGGGGGGGGGGGGGGGGGCGGGAGTTGAAGACACCTAAATAGCATACAATTTTTTCAACTTAGGTCTATGTTATAGTTATACTTAGAGATCTAGAATCTAGTCTATAGTCATATAGATCTAGACTAGAAAGAAAAAATTGAAAATTCAAATCGTGAGTCTACTGTCAAACTTGCTGATCAACCACTTTGTATACATTGTGTGCAATTGTGTGCAATGTGTTCATCGTGTGCTATTGCTGCCTCTCAGCATGTACATGTAACAGCGCTAGAGGACAATACGCCTAAGCATTGACTCTAGCCTTGCTGGAGTGGTTTTGCCCTGCAGGCCTGGGTGGAATACGATATAAAATATCAAAAACTGTGACTCTAATGATTGCATTTTAGGCGTGGACTTTACGTAAGGTAGCATATGACGTTCAAATCAGATTTCTTAATAATCTCGCCATATGACCCATGTGCATCAACTTTTCACACGTATAGGCTACTGTCGGTGTCATCATGCATCCTCAGCTCATGGTAGCCGCTAGACGCAGGTTGTAGATCTAATAACATTGATATCCAGGCGCGTACGCAGGATTTTTTCAAGGGGGGGGGGGTTTTAACATTTATAAATCGGTCCGAAAATTTCAACGACTCAGCCAGTCGCTGAATAAACGGGGGGGGGGGGGGGGGGGGAGGGGGTAAGAGGACACATTTTTTTTTTTTTTGGTCCCAAAAAAAAGCCGACCGCTGAATAAGCGGGGGGGGGGGGGGGGGGGGGGGGGGGGGGGTAAGAGGACACTTTTTTTTTTTTTTTTGGTCTCGAAATTTGGAAATTTGACATTTTGCTCCGTTGGGGGGGGGGGGTAAGGTCACCTTTTTTAGGTCGGCCATGGGAATAATATTTTTTTTTTTTTTTTTAATAATAATTAAAAAAAAAAAAAAAAAAAAAAAAAAAAAAAAAGGGGGGGGGGGGGGGGGGGGTTTTAGGTTTTTTTTAGGGGGGTTTACACACAAAAAATTTCCAAAGGGGGGGGGGGGTTTAAACCCCCCCCCCCCCCCCCCCCTGCGTACGCGCCTGTTGATATCACTTGGCCTATAGCCATCATTTAATAATATTCAATCTGAGCTGTATGGCCCTACGTGTTATCAGTGCCTGTGATATGGTGTAATATTTAAGCCCTAAACAAAATTGCGCTTCAAAATGATCACGATAGAAATGCCTCAAAGAAGTAAAAATCTGTTAGTTTGAGTGACCATTTTACCATACTCATTTTCCCCAAAAGACTGTAGTGTACATGTATGTAATAAAAAAACTGTTAGGTAAAACAAAAAATGAAATTTTGATTTTCAATCATAAATATCTTGATAATCAGACAGCTAGGCAATCGGCTTGTAAAGTCATGGGATTCCTGACTGACCTAAATGTTTGTAATCATGATTGCAGCATGAGCTAAATCCAGGATTTTTTCTTCAGAATCTGAGGCAATGTTACCGAGCCACTTAATTGATACCCGTACTCCTATCAAGACTGATAATTGATATAAAAAAAAATTCAAATTTGTTCATAATAACCACTAGAAGTACCAACACTTAAATAATCTTACCCACTGGTGGTAGCTGTTAATACTTGTATGGTTAGTATTACTATATACTGTAGGACTAGTTATATAAACTCTTCTTTCTTCTCATACAAATCACTTTAAAATAATACAAACATTTAACAAAAAATGTAAATATTTGATACTGGAGGGATAGCAATTTGGTGTGTCACTCTCGATATGGGTGCCAATTAAGGCTAAGTGAC